TGGTGCTCTTCACTTCTTGGCCTTGCCCTGGGCAGCCACAGCTTCCATGGCTTTGCGCACGGTCTCTTCATCCCCGAGGAACTGCATGGGCTTGATGGGCTTTAAGTTTTTATCCAGCTCGTAGACAATAGGAATACCAGTTGGCAGGTTCAGCTCCATGATGGCTTCTTCAGTGAGACCTGGAAATAGCCATGCGCAGTCAGCCACACAGGTGAATCCACACCTCCTGGGTTTACTCGTCATCCCCCAGCCGCCAATGTTTTGTTTTGTTTTTTGCAGAGCAGGGGATTGAACTCAGGCCCGCAAGTGCTTATTCAACTGAGCTATCGCCCCTGCCCCCACCCCCATGGACTTTGGTAGGATTAAAAACAAGCCACCCTTGCTTATCTTCCTACTAGTTCTGGTCTCTGTAAGTAGATCCATGCCCCAAGGAATGGATCCTCGTTTGAGGATCGTTTCTCTAGCCACCCAACTGAAAAGCAAGAAAGGATACGAAGAGGATATACAATTGATTCTAAGGTGGGCCACCAACTAGAGACAGGTCATTAGCGCAGCTGTCCCTTCCAGAGTGGGACCCGGAGTGCACAGTGAAGGACTATGTGTCTCTCACAGCCTACAATCAACGGGACTGTAGAGGACCTACACAGGACCGTCACATCCACTTCCGGGCCTCTAGGTCTTCAGGAATAAAGTAATTAAGATATAAATTAAAATTTGTGTGAATCTAAACCAGATTATAACTGAGGAATTTGTCAGTTTTAACTGGCAGTTCCAGTATAGAGGAGGGCATCCCTACTCTTGGGAGACACGCGCCAATGCTGGGTCGAGTCTGGATTAGAACTTCGGGTTCTAAATCTTCACAAGCTCTGAGGAGGTCATCTTCTGCACATTACGCTTTTTGAGACAGGGTCTCGCTAAATAGTCCAGGCTGGCCTGGGCCTTACGGCAATCCTTCTGCCTTAGCCTCCCAAGTGTTGGGATTACAAGGCTTGTACCACCACATCCAGCATGTAGACTACTCTTTAAGAAACAAGGATATGACATATTTTTCTATGACGTATCAATCCCAGACATCTCTGAGGCCATCAGTGTATCAGTCCTTCCTGGAGATCCCCTTTGTACTAAATAAACCCTTCATTGGTGGCAGATCTGCTTTATCACTCCTGAAGGCCCTTACAGAAAACAGCACATACCTTCCAGATGCTTGACTATACCCCGCAGGCTGTTGCCATGGGCTGCAATCAACACCCTTTTCCCCTCCTTGATCTGGGGAACAATTTCTTCATTCCAGAAGGGCA